GTGGGATTTTGCCTGGGCTCACCTTTGCTTGGCTTCCTCCACTTCTCTGTTCAGGCTTCCCCCACTCTTTTGCAGGTTTCCTCTTGAGCACCTCTTTAATAGAGACTGTCTCTGAATCCTCACCTCACATGTCTGCTTCTAAGGACCAGGACCCAACACGTTGCTGTGAGATTCCCACAGGAAAATAAACAAGCACATCTAAAGATAAACTCAAGAAAATAACTGCAGTATACAAGGGAAAAAAATTCATCTAAGACAGTCTGTAGAAACAATAACAGAAGTATTAATGCAACTAAGAACTTCATGGAGTAGAAAAATTACTTGACAAAATATATAAACTATCCGGGATACAAATGGAGAGAACCAAAAATGGAAAGTTTGACAGAGAGTTTAACGTATACAGGGATATAATGATAAAGTTTGACATAAAAAAGCTAACCGTGGCCGGGCGCGGTGGCTTAAGCCTGTAATCCCAGCACTGTGGGAGGCCGAGGCGGGTGGATCACGAGGTCAAGAGATCGAGACCATCCTGGTCAACATGGTGAAACCCCGTCTCTACTAAAAATACAAAAAATTAGCTGGGCATGGTGGTGCGTGCCTGTAATCCCAGCTACTCAGTAGGCTGGGGCAGGAGAATTGCCTGAACCCAGGAGGCGGAGGTTGCGGTGAGCCGAGATCGCGCCATTGCACTCCAGCCTGGGTAACAAGAGTGAAACTCCGTCTCAAAAATAAATAAATAAATAAATAAATAAATAAATAAATAAATTTACTGCAGCCTAAATGTATAGTGTTTATAAAGCCTACAGTAGTATACAATAATGTCCTAGGTTTTCACATTCACTCATCACTCCCTCACTGACTCACCCAGAGCAATTTCAGTCCTGTAAGCTCCATTCATGGTAAGTGCCCTATACAGGTACAGTATACAGACCATGAGGTTAGGAGACCGAGACCATTCCGGCTAACACGGTGAAACCCCATCTCTACTAAAAATACACAAAATTAGCCAGGTGTGGTGGTGTGCTCCTTAGTCCCAGCTACTTGGGAGGCTGAGGTAGGAGACGCACTTGAACCAGGGAGATGGAGGTTGCAGTGAGCCCAGATTGCACCACTCCATTCTGTCTCCAAACAAAAAAAAAGTGTTTACTGAAAATTAGTGATGTTCCTGACAGTAGGGATATAGCAATTAATAGAATAAACAAAAATATCTGTAATTATAGAATGTATGCTCTAGTAGCTGGCAACTCTTTTCACTCAGCAAGGTCTTTTCCGACCACCAATATGAATTTCAATGTTACTTATTTTCTTGTTTTCCTATTTATTGTGTTTCTTCACACGAGTGTGCCACATCTTTGGGAAGAGAGACCTTGTCTATCTTGTTTATCACTTTACTCTGAGAGCATGGAATGATACCTAAAACAATTATGTATTCAAGAGCTATAAGGCGAAAGAATGAATTCATGAATAGGGGATTCATGGATGGTGTCACCTCAATTATAGTTGAGGAAAACATTTGCCTGCAGCAAAAGGGGTGTGTGTGTGTGTGTGTGTGTGTGTGTATGTATGTATGTGTGTGTAACCAAGAAGAACAAAGATCCTGTGTAAACTCAAGAGAACGGATATTGTGGTATTAGGATGAGAGGTTAGATAGGCAGGCAGGGGCCAGAGGCAGGTAGTCTGGTTGCTATGCAAAAACAGTGGACATTTCATCTTAACAATAACAGGGTGCATGATGGCCATTTGTTTCAATACAAGATGGGAAATTTAAATCTCCTTTGGGGATTTAATTCTAAAAGTAAAGAATGTTTCTATTTGGTTTGAAAACAACAACTCTTTGGTTATGATTATTATGAGCTCCATTTTAGTTAACATATAATATATAACTGCATATACTACATAGTTGATAAAGGACATTTCATAATCAACTTTACATGGTGCTTTATAGGAACACTGAAATAGGTATAGGTCAAGCACTGGAACTTAGTTATGTACAAACTTAGAATGTATTTTCCCATAACTGGTGTAAAGTTTACTTTCAGTGAGCCCACTCCTGCCATCATCACCATGGTCATCAGACCTCACATGGACTGAGTGGCTCTTATATTCAAGACACTATTTTAACCCATTTAATTCTCTCAAAAACCCTCAGTGCAGGGACAACGAGTTGCTTAAAGTCCCATAGCTAGTACATGGTATAACTAGGATTCAAAATGTGGTAGCTGAGCTCTGCAGCTTGTGCTCTTAACCTTTGCTCCCCACTGCTTCCATCCTTCCTGATGAATTACATCCCGCCCACCGAGTTTTGTCACCTAATCTTATGAAAACGTGCACTCTCCAGATTTAGGTCATCTTTCCATGCCGTCCTTCTCTGCCTACCTCCAGTCCTGTTCCTCCTCACAAGCTTCTGCCACTGATCTCATCCCTGGTCTGACCCCTGGAATTGGAGGTCCTGGTGAAAGACAAAAATCACAGTCAGGTGCTTTCAAAGACATGGGAGTCCATGTTCTCAATCAGATTCAGTCTGTCAGTTGTCTCTAGTGATGTGGGGTCTCCATGTAGATGGCTTGTGGAATTTTCTTAGCCAACGTAAGAAAATTTTCTCCCCCTCATCCCCCAGCAGTGGTGCACATACCTTTCTCTCTGTACATTCTCCTAAGCAATCTGAGTGGCTCCTGTCCCTCTGTTCATCTCTTGGCTCTCTCATGTGGAATCCTGAGGACTAGCCTCCATGACTTCTGGGAACTAGGATAGAGTGGCCCTCACCTCTCATCTTCACAGGCACACTGTGATACTCTCATGCTCTGCTGGCTTCTGGCTTCAGAAGCAGTGAGGTTTCTGCCTTCAGAAATCTCCGGTTGAAAAGTCAGTGGCATTCTCCAATTTTTAGAGTCCTCCAATATTTTAGAATATATAAATCTAGTGCCTCCTTCAATCTACGGGTCAGGGGAGAAGTTAAATCCTTTAGAAATTGAGTTCTTCAGAAAATGACTATTTTTACCCTTCAGGGTGCTGTGAGAACCTACCATTTTATAAACTCAATGGTGGGTATCCCATACTACAGGAGTGGGGAAGAGCAGGCATTGTTCATGTTAAAAGGTGAACTCCAAGTACATTTTGTTCTCAGCTATTAGTTTAGCAAGTTCTACATGAAAGCAGTACCATCAGGGAGCTGGAAAGAATCTAAGCTGCTACATTACATCCCATTGTCTATATCAACACACTCATGTCATGAAACCTTGCAAAGAAAGAGATATCAACACCATCTGAATCGGTACAAGGAATCACAGGGACTTTATAGGGTTTATGTGACTTCTAATAATAAATACTTCTAATGTATTAGCTCAAAGATGTTAACATTTAAACCACCACTTTTAAAGGTCAAGAACAATACGACCTAAGCCTTTTATTTTGGTAATAAGATATATAGTTTACTTTTCATTCAAAAGTAAGTGTCCATAGTAGTGGACATTTACTATGTCCACTAAATGTCAAAAGCCAAAAGCTACAGATTTTCTTAGATAATACACATTTTTAGGTCTTTATATTAAATCAAAAAATAAATTTAGCCATGTTTTGTATCAATCTTAATCATATTCCTGACCACCAATATGAATGTTAATGTTACTTATTTTCAATAAGTATTTATATATTATATAAATATATTATAGTTTGATGATCCAGTAATTATTAGTATAACACTTGGCTTATATTAAGCCTGTTTCCTGAATATGAGAAATACAGTTGGAATTACCTCCCTCATTAGAGTCATAGTGAAATGTACATAATAATATATTTAAAGCCAAGGACAGGCACATGGTACATAGTCGCTATCATTCTGTCCTCAGTACCGAAATTTTTGCATAATTCTTTGTCTTCCATTGAAAAGTTTTTGAATTTTTTAAAAAGAAGTTCTTATCAGGAAATAACACAGTATGTCCTCTGCATTATATAGTTATGCATTCTAAAAGATACTTTGTTTTCAAAGGTCTGCTAATTGACCAGGTCAAAATTGTATTGCTTACAGCCAAAAACATTTCTACCTACTTATTCTTGTCTTATCCTTGCTGATTTGTGGCACTTGTCAATAAATATTGACAGTAAAGTATTTGAGAGTGACGTCTCTTAGTCTTCTAGATACTGTTTAATGTAGATTTCAAGTCCTATCCTTGGAAAAAAAATTCCCACAAAAAGACTTCAGTCCTCCAAAGCAGTGTCTCTGACTTCCCCTGTCTAACTTCACTTAGAAGGTGCTTTACTGACAGGTTAGCTACTCACATCCACAGACTGTTAGACATTCTACCACTTGTCAGCCATTTTTTTGGTGAAATTTTGTGATTTTCAATTTTGCTTTAATAATGGCGAAGGTCGCATTTTTGTAGCTTTTTCTTCTGCAGTGTTGCTCCCTCTAGTGCTAAGTCGAGAGACTGGATATTCGACGATATAAACATTTTGCTAATTTAACTAACCGAAAAGTTAACTGTGGAAATAAATATAATATTTACACATTAAAAATATTTCTACATGCCAGGGGTAGGGTACTATTTATTATCATGTCTCCAGAAGCCAGGGCAGCATTGACTCCTAAGAAACATGTTTTCAACCAAACTGTTGAGAGAATACATATGATAGAAAAAAAAAAATTATTAAGATTCTATCTTACATTTTTTAATTCGAGATGTGCCTTTTGTAGTGACACCTAAAGATTTAGAAACATCTTATCATACAACAGCATTATTTAGCTAGCTATGCAAAATGAAATCATTAATTCTTTAGAATATTTGTCTTAAGAATAGGGTATGTGATTCAAATAGACACAGGAAGAAGCAACTTAGCAGTTTCTAACTTAGCAGAAACACTGACATCTGGATGTCGTGCACACAGACTTTTGAGGAATTCTTCTGCATACCACAAGCTAGAGCTACTAAACTTCCATGAATCCCATCGTCCTTTGGTATTGGGGATAGCTGTTGGCAAAGCTTGCTTTATTTGATGTAACTTACCCAATCAGAGTTGTCTTGAATTCTTGTCTCAGTAGTCAGCCATTTGCTTCCAGTATTGTCTTTACTTTTCACCTCTCTTGCTTAATGCTCCCAAATCCAAATAGCTCTATTTTCCAGCTGAGCATATTTTATTCACTTTACTCTTTGACTTTGAAGGTTGTTGGCTAGGATCCTCTCTACAGTACTTCAGATTTGGAGCAGGATTCTCCATTTAAAGTAACAGGGGCAGGAAGACATCCACATTTTGCATGATAGGTCATTAACCTATATACATCTAAGAGGCATTCTACTGATTTTTATAATACAATCTACAGAAAGTAAATTTGACAAAATTGCCTTGGCTGGTGAAAAAACATAGATTCCCCAGCAACTTTCAACTATGCCCTCAAGGGCCATGTCAGAATCCCTAGAAGTAGGGTGGTCATGAAATTTTTGTGTTTATCCATGGTTTTTCAATAGTTGAGATGTATGGGTCTAAGTTAGAGGGGACTCTGAGAGTTATGAGGGCTTAGGTCTCATGACCTTACGAAACTCTAAGATTGCTCACAATTACACAAAACAGCTACCAAAAAGTAATTTCAGAATAATTAACTGTCTTCACAAACACTGTGGAGTTTATACGTAGCTCCCTCTTCTTTTCCATCTTTCTTTCCACCATTCCCAGTCTTTCCTATTATTTGTCCTGCACCTATCACTTTGTTTCTTATTCTGCAAAGCTCAGGAGAACCCAGGTGGCAAAAAACAGAACTATTCACAGAGGATGAAGGAAAGATTTGGCAGTTTGGCAGATAGAGTCAGAATCTCTTAGGCCAGCAAAAGTTAAAAAAAAAAAAAAAAAGGTTAAGAATACACAGCACATATGTTAAAATGTTTTGATCCATCACAAAAATGTATGTGAATTGGAGGTGAAGACAAAAAAAAAAAAGATGAAAAGACACATTTCAGTCTCTTTTTCTATGAAGGAAACAAAATATCTCTCTGGTCATTTCTATTCTGATCATTCACGGCATATTTAAATAAATTTAAAGAGGCTCTTAAAGCCTCTCTGAACTACAGAAGCAAGTAGCTAATTATTAGTTTTCTTGTAACCTTCACAAAGACTCCTTTGAGGGCAAGCCACAGCCTCACAAAAGCTGTTAATTTGCATGAAACCAATTGCATGAGCAACTGTTTAGAGTTAGGAAACTTTATTATCAGTTTAGCCACAGGAGTATGCAAAAAGACAAGATTCTCGGGTAATATAGGTTCCTGCCTTGCAGGCTAGTAATCTGTATAGAAGAATCATATAAGATTATTTCCAGTGTTAAATAATGCATTGCTGAAGCGCATATAGGAATCCCATACTTCTCTGTGCCTCACTGTTATTTAGACAGCTTATACTCATCAAATGTGCTTCCTGGATTGCAAGTTCTACTATCCTATTAGTTGATCCTGAATAATTTTGGTTTACTAATGCACCATTTTATGCTATCAGAAGGAGCTCTACATTTCTCAGGATGCAAGCAATGGATTTGGAAGAGATAATTTTCCTGTTTGTAAGAATATATTAATAAAATACAGTGAATGTTTGTCTTAGAGAATTTGTCTTTTCCAATACACAGGAGAAAAAAATCTTCCCCACCATTCATTATCTTTGAGATTTCTTCAAAATGTGGTTTCTACCTAAAATTCTGCTGCTACTTTCCTGTGGTTTCTGATTCTTGAAATTGCCGTATAACCCAGAGAAGGAAAGGGTATCAGTTAGGATTGGGTTCAGCTTCATAGAACAGAGACTCAACTATGGAAGCTTAAATTCACAGGTTCATGCTTTCAAGTTTAATGATTAGAGAATGCAGCTGGGGCCTGATACAGTGGCTTCCTGGGGTCACAGGGACCCACAGAGATCTCTGAGCTCTCCCATCCACAGTGCTTACAAATGCATTGCATCTGCATTTTAGGCAGCAGGAAGGAGGAAGTAGAAGAGAGGCCAAAGGGCACCCTCCAGCTGTCTTTTATGAAAATTTCTCAGAAGTTACACACTTCCATTTCCACTTCATGGATGGTGCTGAATAAGATCAAGGCATAAGGAGAGAGAAAGATATCGGAGCAGACAACTAACAGTCTCTGTAGCAGAATGTGATGACATAGCATACCATCATTTATGATTTTAAAGCAGTCAGCTTAGTATTTAAATTCAATCCCTCAAGATTTTCCCTCATATCTTTTCTTTTCCTCCCTTCCCTTAAAGTAAACTTAAATTTCCAGAGAACTTACCATATTATGCTGCAATCAGAAGAGGGTCACAGCTAGACTTTTTATTGCCATCATGAGACTGGTATTACTGCTGAGTCTATGCTTTCTCTGTAGTCCCTGGTCATGAAGTTCATACATTCCAAATCCTACTCATTTCAACCTCAGGTCTCTTTAGGGTCGCCAATCTTCTGCTATTTTCAAGGTTAGAGATTCTGTCCTTGCCCATAGTTAGGATAGGAGAGGCTATGCTGCAGGGAAAGAAAAGAAAACAGAAAGACTATCCCTAAATCTCAGTGAATGAACATGCTAAAGTTTATTTCTGACTCACACTGCATGTCTGTAGATGTTTCTGGAAGGCTCTGCATAGTCACTCAGAGGCCTAGTCACTCTTCATAGTCAGGAAGATTCTACCAACCAACTTTTAGCCACCTTATCTAGACCATGTGGTCTTCTTCGTCACTATGGTAGGGGAAGAGAGACTGGACAGTCAGCTTGCATTTTTCACTATCAGCTCCCTAATTGATATAGCACCACTTCCTGCCAGGGACGGAATGTTTGTGTCCCCCAACATTCATCTGTTGGAACCCTCCCCCCTAAAGTGATAATATTTGGGAGTGAGGACTATGAAGACTAATTAAATCTAGATGAGGCCATGAGGGTGGGGTCCTCATGATGGCATTGGTGTCCTTATAAGAAGAGACCAGAGCCGCCTTCCTCTCCGTCTCTGCCGTATGAGGATGCAACAAAACAGTGCCCATCTGCAAACCAGAAAGAGGGCCCTTACCAGACACCAAATCCCCTTGCACCTTGATCTGGGACCTTCCAGCCTGGGAACTGTGAGAAATAAATGTTTGTTGTTTAAGTCACCCAGTATACAGTATTCTAGTATAGCAGCCAAACTCACTAAGATGCTTACAGTCTCATTTTATTGATCAAATTAGGATGTGGTCCACCTAATTCCAAGAGAAGGGGAAAATGTTTCTTTCACATGTCTGGAGAAAGAAGAAAGGGATATTGGGTAGAAAATGATAATGTCTATCTCTTGAGCTGACTATGACTCTGTAAGGCCACGCTCAGGCCCTCAGTCTAGTCAACTCACTTGCTCACTGCTGATTTACCTCTAAGACACAGCGTTTGACAGGAAACTTCTCTGTGAGGCTTATGTCTCCTAGGCCACTTTCCAGAGTCCAGAAAATGGATAACATCTGCTCTTTAATACTTCCAATCATATCTAAGATTTCAATTCTCTCATTCCAAGAGTGGGTAGGAAAGGATGTTTCTTAGAAACAAACTTGTTCTGACCTCTTAACGCATCACCTCCATTTTCTTCTTTCATTTGCTTAAACTCATATCTCCTTCTTTTCCTGTGGGTAAGATAACTTATTCCTTGGTGCCATGTCATATATTTAATAATCTTCTTCAAGTCATAAGGGCTCAGTCATGTCAGAAGTCACTTATCCCTTTTCTCTCAATAGAGCCTTGCTCTCTCAAATAAAAGCTGTGTTTTCAAGATTATTTGTTTCTGCTATGATTTACAGATCCCATTTAGCATTTTAATTAGCTTATTTGTTGTACACTGTATCTACCCAACATTTGAGAGTGGTGCATAGAAAGCTGTTTTTAGCACTTGGAGATAACAATAAATACAAAGATAGGGGCAGGGTGCAAATAATTTAAAAATGTTAAGTCTATTATGCCAATATATCTACGAAGTTAGGAAAAGTACTACTATATCAGGTATATTTGGAAAATCTTAATCACAAGTGTTCTCATTTCATTCACACAGTGATTCTTTGTGATTCTTCATCCTTTAAAACAATGGGTTTTAGGGCATTAGGGAAACATGAAGTTCCTAATCAGCTTTGATTATTTAATTAAATGTTTTATCATTTACTCTGTAGAGAGAGACTTGATTTAAGAGCCAGACGGTCTAAAGAGAATGGCCATTCCTAAACTCCAAAAGACCATTTACAAATTACAAGGCAAATCTCATAAAATTTGACAGTGGAGCTAGTCTACAACTCAGAGTGAAGAGTGCTCTGAGAACGTGGCATAAGAAATACTATCAACTCGAAAGGAAGGCAAGATGTAGGTGGGGTGGAAGAAGAAGTTACACTCAAGGGTTTCTACTCCTTTTCTTGAGATTGAAATATTTCAAAGTGTTCTTGAGATCGTTAAAAAAAAAACAAGTATGTCAATAAGGGAGCCAAAACAGATCCTCTTTAGTGCTTCGACAGATCATTTCACAGAAATAGGCACCCTTTTTCCCATCATGAAGGTATGTATTCTCTTCCTGGGTCCACAAGGAGGTGTAGTTTCAAAGGCAAGAACTTCCCTGCCCCATATCTCAACCCGCGTCTCCATCCGGGAGACTAGAGGTCTTTGTTTAACTTTTGCACACATGGGAAAAAAATCAAAGATCAATAACTCCAGCTGAAGTTTAAAGGAACTCCTTTCAAAGGCCAGGAAACTTGACTGGAGTGGGAATTCCTTCTAAGTTAAAAGTCCCCATCCCCCCCAGACTCCACATCTGGATCCCCTTCCACAATCTCATGGAAGTAGCTTTTCTCTCTATCCATTTATTTCTGCTTTTTCTCTCTCTCTGCCTAAGTAAATCACTTTCTGCAAAAACTCTTTGGGGTCCTAGATTTACTTACCAGCGCACCGCACCCAGCAGGGTTCTCTCTCCTGTTCTTGGGTGAGTGAGGGACCAGGAGCCTGCAAGAACACCATCCTAGGGGGGTAGCTGAACCTCTCCCACCATGGGGACCAGTCTCAATCATGAGGCATTTACTGCAAAGGAGAATGGTATTAAAGGATGTGTAAGCAGAGAGTACTGGAGATAGCCCCAGCCACCCTACATGCCTTTGCCCACTGCTATGGTCTGAATGTCTTTGTTCTCATCAGATTCGTATATTGAAATCCTAATCCCCCCGTGTGATGGTATTAGAAGGTAGGACCTTTTGGAGTGATTAAGATATGAGGATGGATCCCTCGTGAATGGTAGTAATGCCCTTATAAAATAGATCCCAGAGAGCTACTCATCCCTTCTACCACGTAAGAACTCGGCAAGAAGGTGCCATCTATAAACAAGAAAGTAGACCCTCACCAGACTCTGAATCCACCTGTACCTTGATCTTGGACTTTCCAATCTCCAGAACAGTGAGAAATACATTTCTGGTTTTTATAAGCTACCTGGTTTACAGTATTTTGTTATAGCAGCCCAAATGACTAAGATACCCACATCCTGGCTGAAATGGGTTATTTCCAGAAGTTTTCTCATGCTCTCAGTAATAGACACAGTGTACCACAAACATATCCTTCTTGAATAAAAAAACTATTTTCCTAATTGCTGGAAGGATTCCCAGCAGATAGCCCAGCTATCAGTTCTCTTTGGTGAGTCCCTCTACTGAACAGTCCAACCTCTTCCAGTGTCATGATTTCTTCCAAGGGTGGTCTATATTCACTGATAGACTCAGAGACATAAATGTCTGTCCCTTTGCCCTAAGTTGAGACAACTCTAAAGGACTACCCAGCGCTGTTTCAGAATTCCCCAAGGAGGCAGCTGAGGCCTCTGTTGAGACCATGTTGCAGCCCAATTTATTCCTCTGCCAAATCCTGTCTCCTGTCTTTCTTTTCCATTCCACACATACTGATTCCAAGAGCATTTCCAAAAGAACTTCCTGCTCTGCAATCTCTGAGTCTGCTTCCTAGGGAACCACACAATATTGGAAACAGAAGTAGAGTCAAGAAAGCAGACATTAAAATGGACTTTTGAAGTTGCATTACCCAACACTCAGCTGGTAATGTGGATTTCAGCACTTGTAATAGTTGAAACACAGATGGTTCCTGCACTTGATCTTAGCCAGAAGGCTGAGAAGTAAACAGGTAGTCCCTGGCATAAAGTCTCCATGCTACTGCTAAAACTCGGTGGTGAACTACAATGATATTTTGATTAAAGAAAGTACACTGGCATGTGTGACGTTTCTGGCATTTGGGAAATATTGGGTAAGTAATAACTATAAGGTCAGAAAAAATGGATACTATACTCTATGGGCACTTTGGGAAAAAAATTAAATGATGAGGGTGATTAACTGGCAATTAAAAGTTGAGTCTGTTAACCAGGGTACCTCCTTTGCACTATGCAAAAGATATTTTGATCTTCTGCAGTTGGTGGGCAATACAAGCTGAAGACCAAGCTCAGCACATAATAAGAGTGGTAGAACTTCAAATTCTGCTGCTCTGCCTGCTGTGCCAAGATCAGGCCTTGTACAGGAAAGAATGGGATCCTCACTGACGGAATGGTGACTTCTAAAGTCCTGGAATCCCCAGATTCCCCTGCTTTGAGAGCCTCTTAAGTGGCATGTTCCTTTCTATTAAAAGTCTGAACTCCCCCTTGACTTGAAGATAATGCAGACAGGTGATCTCCTGCAGCACAGTAGAAGTTACAACCAGGATCTCCCCAACTTCCCCTCTTTGCCACTGGGAGAATAGTGGCCCAGCTGAAACATGCTGGAACATCCCAATAAGGAAGAAAAGGGACTTTACTCCCAAAAAACTGTAGGACCTGACCAACATGTACTGGCAGAAGCTGGGAAAATTCACATAGCGCTGGATTCTGAGACTGCTAGATCAAGAGTAGTGGAACATCAATTTGAATAAGAGAGAACATTCTCCTGGCATACATGCTTTCAAATTCTGGCAAAGACCTAAGGAGAGGGTGTAAACATGATGTTAAAATGGTTCCTAGAAGCACAGGAAAAATGATGGCCAATAGTACATGAGGTAAAAATAGACTTAGAAGTATTAGTTCTCATAGAACTATGTAAATAGCTTGGCTACCTACAAAAACAATAAATTCTTCATACCTGTAATCCCAGCACTGTGGGAGGCCAAGGCTGGTAGACCATGAGGTCAGGAGTTTGAGACTAGCCTGGCCAATATGATAAAACCCTGTCTCTACTAAAAAATACAAAAATTAGTTGGGCATGGTGGCACATGCCTGTAAACCCAGCTGCTCAGGAGGCTGAGGCAGGAGAATTGCTAGAACCTGGGAGGCAGAGGTTGCAGTGAGCCAAGATTGCACCACTGCACTCCAGCCTGGGTGACAGAGTGAGACTCCATCTCAAAAAAAAAAAAAAAATTCCATGCAACTGGAATAACTTAATATTACCAAATTCAGATTACACAGTTATTTACATAACAATGTTTTATTCTGTGAGTAGATTTGAAGCTCCTTGAAGTCAGA